GGCTATTTTTTGGTTGCAGCCGTCGTTGTTTGGCGGGTCCGGGCTGGGGATTCGAACCCGCCACCTTAGGTGTACGTGGCTGGCGCCTTAGCCGGTTGAGCTATAGGCGCCGAGCCCCGTTTTACATTTCTGCCAGCAGTGCACAAGGTTCCCAGTCTCTCCACCTCCTCACAAACTCTTGCTTTTTATTTTTATTTTTTTTGGTAGTAGCCAACTAACAGGTGGTTTTGGTTGCATTTCCCTAGTCATGAGTGATAGTGAGCATCTTTTTGTGTGCTTGTTGGCCATTTGAATGTCTTTAGAAAAATGCCCATCTATATCTTTGGCCCATTTTTAATCAGGTCATTTTGGTTTTTGTTATTGAATTGTACAAATTATATATTCAGGATATCAACCCCTTACCAGATACATAGTTTGCAAATATTTTCTCCCAGACTACAAGTTACCTTTTCACTCTGTTTATTGTTTGCTGTGCAGATGTTTGATGAAGTCCCGTGTATCTGTTTTTGCCTTTATTGTCGTTTGTGCTTTTGATGTCATAGCCAAGAAATCATTTCCAAATCCAATGTCCTGAAGCTTTTTAAATGTTTTCTTCTAGGAACTTTACAGTTTTAGGACTTACGTTTAAAGTCTTACCAACTACGATGAATTTTACATTGAAGACAAAACAATGGAACAAAATCAGTGCTTAAACTGGTAACTCAATAAAACTTTGCTCCCTCCACAAAAGGAAACACCCTGAATATAAATACCATAAGGTGTACTTAGGAAAATTAACTCAGAAATGTCAGCTCTTAGTAATACTCTTAAATTTTAAAGATAACAGTGGCTCACAGCTGCGGTCTTGGCTACTCCAGAGACTGAGAAGAGAGGATCGCCTGAGCCAAGGAGTTCCAGACTGCAGTGAGCTCTAACCATGCTGCCACAGCACCCCAATCTGGGTGACAGAACAAGACCCTGTCTCAAAAAAAAAAATTCTTTCTGTTTTCCCACAAGAAGACA